GTCGGTCGGTCAAAGGCCTTTGACTGACCGTTGACCGACCGTTAACCGACTATGACCGACCGTTACCATCCCTAATCTAAAATAAAAAGTATGAATTATTTTATCAGATCAAATTACTTTTCAATTCTTACTATCTAACTTTTATACTATTTTACAAAAATCTAAGCTTTTTATTTTTTAATCAAACTGATAATTAGATTTTTTACTTAAATGTTAACGTTAATTATTTATTCATACAAAATTGTGAAATTATAGAAAAATCTTATCTTCTCTAATATTGAATCCACCGGATCCGGTATTTGCATTGGCATCAATAAAAAGACCTTACAGTAATTTATTGGCAAATTTTGTATCTGAAATCGGATATAAATCCAAACTGGTTCTCAACATATTTTATACTTTTAATTATATTACTTATTCTAAAATGGATATGTATTCGATTATTTTCGTTTTTCTCCATAGTTGCTGCGCCTCAAAACGTGATTTTGGATATAAAATTGCCAACACTACTAACTTTAAATGTAAATATAAAGAATCTGACAGTTCCCTAATTGAGTAAGAAGGGGCAACTTTTATTTATATTTTGTGAAATTGCGTTATAGGATCATATGATTTGGTTTTAAGTCGACTAACCTTTTTATAAATTTCAGATAATTGATCGGGGTAAACAATAATAAAAACTATTGAATATATATAAGAACCAAGACTTACAATTGATAATCATGCATTAATCTTCCTTTTTATTCCTTTTCGTACACAAAATATATACTTAGCATTACACGATGCGGTGGTGAAAAAACGCCAAGTTGTTTATTGTAATACAATCATAAATATAAAACCCCCTCAACTTTTTTTAATTGTTGCACTTTTTTTTTTTAAAAAAAAAAAAAAAACCAAAAAAAGCGGAATTTAACTATAATTATTTCATTGTTTAAAATATTAATGAGGATATTTTTTTTTTTAATTAATTAATTCTTGATAACTTACTATATACATTTTAGTTACGTTTTTTTAATTTTTTTTAATTTTTTTGTAAAGAATTTATTATATTTGGTGAGTAATCTAATTGCTTTGTATAACTAACATTTTATTTATGCATTTCAGATAAAATATTTATACGAATTTATTCAATTTAGATAAATTATTTATAATTAAATAATCCAATTCATTAAAATGCCAGAAAAATATACCGGTGCAGAGTTTACTCCAAATGTAAACAATTCACAGCCAATTTACTCTCAAGGTGGTCCATCATCACAAATGATGGGAGGAGAACAACAAGTATATGCTGTTCAAACGACTCAAACACTACAAAACGTATATCCAGTTCAGCCAAATTTCATTCAAATACAAGAACAAAATAAAGGCCTACCGTCACTACCACAATCCCCACAATCACCACAATTCCCACCATCCTCACAAAACCCACAAATACAACAAATACCACAAACACCACCACCGGGTTATGTGCAACCGCAACAACCGATCTATGAACAAGCTCAATATGGAGCACAGCCGGGAATTACATACGTTCCATATCAACCTCAAGTTGCCCCTCAACAAGTTCATGTAATAACTCATATGGGCAATGTTCCCAGAGGAGCTTTACAGATTAATACTCCTTTTCCTGTTACAGTAAATTGCCCTCATTGTAATAATGAAATTGTTACTATCGTAACTGAAGCTCCTGGTTCCACTGCTTATCTTTTGGCTGCCATCTTATGTTGCGTATTTTGGCCTCTTATGTGGTTGCCTTGTGTAATTTCTGGCTGTCTGGATAAAACTCATTCTTGTCCTGTATGTAGAAATGTTTTAGCACATGTTAAAGCTTAGCATATTCTGTCTAGTTTTTTTAAGGCAAAGTTATGTCGTCAAAAATCGATTTAGTTATAAATATTTTTTTAAAAAAAAAATAATTTTGTTAAAAATTAATTAATTTTGTACCAAATAATTCCTCCCTCTTAACTGTGTTTGTATTATTTATTGTATTATTTATTGTTCGCATTCCATTAAAAAATTAATAAAATTTGAAGCACAGCGTCACAAAAAAATATCATTTCACGTGACTACACTTTTAGTGAAATTTTTTGATTTTTTTCTTTTTATTTATTTTAGGAATATAGAAAGTTATAGTATAAATATGCTAAGACAGAATGAATTGATTGATATATTCACAGTACATGGACTATTCACTTTAACGTGATCCATTTACAACAGAATAAACTGTTGTTTCAAAGCTTCTTTTTAAGCTTTTTAATAAGCTTTAATTCTTCTTTGTTCACATTAAAACTTCTTTTCAAAGGTTGCTGGAGAAACTAGAGGGTTTTTTTACTTGCTAAAACTGCCAAAATGCTAAAACTTTGTCAAACTCTTATAATTACTTATGCTGAAATTATGGCGAAATGCCAAAATGCTGAAACTGGAAAAACTATGATAAAACTATATTAATCTCTTAATAAAATTTCACCAAAACTAATCATAGAATTTTGAAGAAATCCTTATAAGTAATTATCAATAAAGGATTTTCTTCTCCTTCTTTTTCTTGCTCATTAGGTTCTTTATTAGGTAAAGCTGCTTTTACAATTTCTTTGACATTTATTATTTCTCCTGTCTTATCATATTAAACAAATTTTTATTAGAGTAAGGGTTATCAAAAACAAGTTTATAAATTAAAGCTTAAATTTTTTCAACTCTTTTAGACATTTAAGTTCTAGTTATATATACAGTTGCTTCCAAAAATAATGCATCATCTAATATTTTAACTTTAAAAGCTTATAGAAAGCTTTACTAGGAAAATGGGGCTCTGAATATTTTTTATTAAAAATTTAATATATATTGCATTTTAATCTAAAATTTTAATAAAAATTTCTCAGAGCCTCATTTTCTTAGCAAACCTCCCATATATCATTATTAGTCCGAAGCGTTAGCGAAGGATTATTTACCTTCTATGCATTGTGTCCGTTTGTCCGCCCGCTTATCATTTGAGATGACGAATATTGGCTATTTATAAATACCATGATACATTTTCCTAAAAAAGAAACTGCCCGCAACATAGATTTAATAAATTCTGTTATATTTATTTTTATAATATTGACATAATTAATTCACGTGATCTTAAGCTCTGGACTTCACAACGGTGATATCGTTCCCTAGTCTACTTATACTACAAATATGATTTTATATTTATTTTAATCCTCAAATTTTAGAGAATAACCAATAAAAATTTGAAGTATGATTAATAATATCAGTTTTGCACAATTTTATGATTAAAATAAACATATTTTACTTAATAAAATTTGGAAAATACATTTTTTAGTTTTTTATCAAATATAATTAAAGAAAAATATGAGTAAAGAATAAATGTTATATGATGAAAAGGTTATTAAGAAGGAAAAAAATTCCTTTAATATTGCTATATTTGATATGAAACTGAATTTAATAATGATAGTGATTTTAGTAAAAGAATTAAAAGAATAAAAAAAATATATATTTATAAGAAACATTTAATTTTTTCACATATTCTATTTATTAGTAAATTTCAAATTAACGGTCTTCTAACAAACTCAAAACTTGATCATAAAGGATATCTATACTAAAATAATATGCAGTACAATATTAGAAAATTCTTTCTGAGTAATAATAGAGTTGTGTAAAACCTCGATTTGCACTATACCTTATACTTTAATGATCATAATATTAAATATGATATAGTATTTGAAAATTCTGCAATGAAATTATAAGCATTATTATGTACTGAGTTTTTTTAATGATTCGCATTTATTATTTTCGTTAAAGTAAGATTTCTGACAATCACATATGACAATTGTGATTCCATATAAATTCTACATATAAATTTAATGAAAAAAATTCAAACAAACATAAACTTTTGCTCTGCTGTATTACCTTATGTTAGATCTTGTTGACTAATGTTGATCTGGTCCTATTGTAATGCTTAAAAAAATGAAAGAACAGCTAGGTATAAAACATTAACCTATTTAATATAACCTTAACACTTATCCTTACTCTTACCAGATACTCGGAAGAAATACTGAAAAAGTATTAGAACTCATTCAAAACTATGATAACTGACCTATTCAAGGAAGTATGTTGAGATGTTTTACCAAAAATTTACTACTTATTTTAATTGGTTTTTTCTTTTAGTCAGTTAGAAATAAAATTTTATCTACCGCTAGTATTGGTTTAATGACTTTTTATTGGTATTTTATCAATGAAAGTCCTAATACTCAAGTCTAAAAAATGGTAGATATTTTTAAGAAGGAAAAAATCAATCTAAGGATTGATATATCTGTCATAGGAAATCTAATCAAACGTAAGGATTTGTATCCCACTGGTTTTTTCATAGCTATAAAATAATTATGTGCCAAGTTATTAGTGATTAAAGTATTAATAAGAGTCAAGTAATTTATTATTTTAGTAAGGATTACTTAATAGGTATTCTATCCTGTAATGATATAGTTGCAGAAAATGATAAGGGTCTAACAGTGATCCTAAAAGATAAAATAGCAAATCATTGAGAAATTTTATTTATACCTGTTAATATAGAGAAATCAAATAAGTATATTAATAATATATATTTTATGCCTCTATGATTATCTCATTAATAGTTAAAAAGCCATTATAATAATTAGAGGTACAGTCAACCCTTGATATAACGAATTTTATGTCCTGAACTTCAACTTCGCTATAGAGCTATAGTGAATTTTTTAAAGAATTTGATTGGCTAGTTCGTTATAACGAGGGTAAATTTAATATAGTTGTCCAAAAAATTCGTTATATAAAAATTCGCTATAGAGAGGTATGACTGTATAAAGGTATTTTTTGATATTTGTGTCTTAGATAATAAGTCTATAGATTCATTTAAGACTAAAGTAAAAAACATATTTGCTGAAAATGTAGGAGAAAATAAGTGGGAAAGTATAAAACATGTGAAAGTTTTCTTAATATAAAGCTATTACACAGAAAAAAAGCCATATCTTCGTAGCATTACAACTTCTAAAAGCAAAGACAGATTGTCTTAGAAATTATTCAAAATCATAACTTAGAGATTGCCTCAAATAATACCAGCACATACTACCATAAAGATACTAGAGAATATAGAATACCACTCTCTAGCTAGGAACAAATAAGTAATTATAAATATGCAAATTATCTTTTAGTCAATTACAGGATATCCTACTACTCTTATTCTCATTTTTAATCACATCTGATTTATATTCACGTTAATAATTTTCATTCTTTTGTAGATTCAATCATTATATAAAACCTATCTATCTTCTGCTATAATTTAAGATTGATCATTAGTTCTTAACTGAAATATTAAAACATATAATAATTGTAGATTAGATGAATTACCATTGCGAGATATGAAGAAGATCAAGTAATTATAATTTGTATGATCTTATATTGGAAAAATAATCTTATATCTTTAAAGCAGATTTGATTAGTTGATATTGAAATGACGCCAGACTCATAATGAATAATAGTAATATGTGAAAATTAGACTAATCTACTAAAAGCCTTTACTCTACTAAAAAGCATTCATCCTAAACCCTATAAGAAATCGAAATAAGGAAATGATACGTTTTTTATAAGGTTTGTATACGTAATTAATGATTCTATA